AAATCTACCAGGAACTCATGGCATAATAAGGGATTTTAGTAAAGTTACTGGGAAAAAAGGTTCTTGTGTATTTCAAGTGATAAAAATTAATTGTACTTCTTTGTAGGAACAAATATATAGAAAGTGTTATTTCCAAAAGAAGGAAAGAACCCTTTGCAAAGCATCTCGGAGAGTAAGGAATAGAAAGATGTACAGTAGTTCTACTGGGAAATTACAATACTTTATTGATAAGATAATTTCAACAGATAAAGAATCTGAATCCAGTAGCTTTTGGGTGTGTTTCCATCTTGGCTAAAGATGTTCGCCAAAGTCTTGTGGCTTGCACTGCTTCTGATGAAAGTCTCTTTGTCCTTTGCTCCTCTAGACATGTCAGGCTTCTAACAAGGAGTTTTTCTTTATTACTGATTCACAGAAATTAAGTTAGGATGCGCCCTGGCCTGACCTCTTTATTCTGCTTGAGATTCACTGAGTTTCTTGTGTCTCTGGGTTTGTATCTTTCATCAAATTTGGAAGCATTTCAGCTACTGATTGATCAGTACTGTTTTCTGGTTTTCCCTCTCACCGCTCCTAGGACTGTTTGCTAGTGTCCCGTGGACGTGTCCCCTGTTCGTGTCACCCCTTCGTGTTCCTCTGTCCCACTGGACATTGTGTCCCGTGCTGACTTCGCCTTCTCCACTTTCTCCCGCCGTCTGATCTGGCGGTGTTTGGTCAGAATATCGATCGTTTCCCATGGTTGGTTTTTCCATCTCTAGCAGCAGATCTACTGAGTTTTTGTTTTCTGTATTTTCCATTTCTCTCTCAATCCTTCTATTTCTCGCTGCTGTCTTGAACAGATGGGGCACATTCATAATAGCTGTTTAAACCTTTGTGGGAGGCCAGGGATTTAGCTCAGTGGTGCTGCCACCTGCCTTACAAGCGCAAGGACCCAAGTTAGATCCCTGGTACAAAAACAAAAGTTTTGCTTACCAAATCCATCTTCTCTCTCACTTCTGAATCTGCTCTTTGATTTTGTTTTCATCCTGATCATGGACCATGTTATTAATATTGCTTGAGTAGGTGCTGCATGGTGTAGATGTTTACGCTGAACGCTAGATTTACTGCATTGCTTTAGAGGGTGTTAGAGTCATTCTGTTGTACACTAAAGTTCCTGGACAGTCGCTGGATTCGCTGGATTCACTCAGAACTGGCCTCCCCGGGTGTACCCAGAGCAACCTCCTGCCGGCTCTGAGGATCCTGTTCAGTGTCCCTTACAGCATGTGACTTTCCGCTCCGACCTCTGGGCTCAGGTGCTATTTCTCATTATTTGTGGCTGCCGGGGCCGGAAATTCTTCTGCCTCCTCCTGTCTAGTGTTTCTTTCCTGGGCTTTGGTAAGTTTCCTCTCACACAGGGAGAGAGCAGTGCTCAGCCTCTGAAGGCGACCCCTGAAGGGCCCCAGCGCCCTCTCTCCCTGCCGTCTGCCCTAGACAGGTCACTCACTGCCTTAACCTCCCACCTCTCTCCCTGACTCAGCTCAGCAGCCCCCGCAGGTTCTGTTTGGGCTGCGGTGAGGTGGAGCTGCTCTAGACTCCCGTGTCCTCCACTTGGGGCGTCACAGCCCTGCCTCTTTCCAAAGTCTCAAAAGTATTGTTTTGCGATTTTTAAAAAAATCTTTTGGCCAAAGAGTACATCCGGCCCCTGTAACTTTACCCTGGCTGGAAGCACAAGTCTATATTTTCACCGCTGTCCTTTACCCTTTATTGGGAACCCAATTCACTGACTTCTCCAGTAAATAATAGCTAACTCAGTTTGCAGTGAAAGAGGTGAATTTGGGATTTTGTGTTTCTACTCACAGTTGACACACTGACCTTAAAGTCATGCCCTGCTCGGTATTCCTGCTCCAAAAGCAGATTCCCCTCTACAGAGCCTGGACAGCGCCCAGCTAGCGTTCACCAACCAAGTCCCTTCTGTTTGTTTCTTTTACCATAAAGCCCGTGTTGAGTCATTACATTGTCACGTGAAATTGGTTTTGGCCTTAGGGTTTTCTCCTGGCACTTTCAGCCACATAAAAAATTGAACTTTTTTCTCAAAGGAATAGGATACGAGTGAGTGTCTATACACAGATGGAAACGAAGACTGGGCAGAAACATGCAGGGGTCCCGGGACCACCACTATCGAGGAAGCGTGGCCCCCGCAGCTGGACCCCAGGGCCTGGTGCTGAGGCCTCTCTGTGCCACCCAGGGCTCCGTTCTGGCAGCGACGCCTCCTTTTGTCCTGGGTGCCCTGGATCCGAGCCTGTGATGTCTCTGTCCTTCAGCCAGCTGCGGAAGGAGGAAGAGAAAGAGAGTGCGGAGATGGAGGAGCTGGTGGAGAAGCTGACGCTTCTGCAAGTGCAGAGAAAGAGCCTGATGGTGGGGAACAAAGCCCTGGAGGCGGAGCTCGGAAGGATGCAGAAGATGAACAGGTTTCCACGGTTTCCCTTTGTTAGTTAACAAAAGACAACCGAACGGTAGTTCATTTTATTTTCTTTATCTTCTCTTTTTCTAAGAGTGACTATAAAATGGTAAAAGAGGCTCAGGATGAGTGGTCATCAGAATATATGCACTGACAGGCCCCCAAGTCAGCAGATGCCCTGCTGCTCTCACCACCACCCTGTTTATCAGCCAGCCCCAGGCCCATCACCTAAACTTTCCTCGGCCAGTGCCCCCTCCCCTACCTACACGGCCCCATACCAACCCCTCATGCCCTCCTCTCAGTGCCAATGGCCTTCTCACCCTTAGCCCATCTGCACTCAGATGGCAATAAAGTCATCACAAGTCACTTAGACTCTGCCTGCCTTGGTGGTCTCAGTAGTGCTTGAGTCAGACCTTACGAGTACAACAAAAGCTTTGCTGTTGGCCACCATTAGTGAGCATTTCAGAAGCTGTAGTTCAAATATAATTGGTAATCATATATGCTAACCCCAAAACTCTGGATGCTCTTAAAGTTCTTTCCTAATTTATCAAAAATCACTGTTGGGATTACTGGTATCAGTTAACAAAGTTGGTCCCTGGAGTAAATGAAAAAGTTTGAACTCAGTCCAGATAATTTAGGAAGAATTTGTCAGGGGTGGGGGTGAGAATAGACTGGAGATGTAGCTCACTGCAGAGCTGCAAAGGCCCTGGGTTCAATTCCCAATACCACCAAAACATTTTTTTTCTCTCTCAGTGGGGTCTATCAGGAGGAGGTCACAGGGAGCACACACACACACACACACACACACACGTAT